ACCAAATTGACGTGCCCAAAATTGCCACTGACGCCGGCTGTGTACGCGGCAGCAATGTCAGAGTCAAAGGCGTCGTCCTTTGTGCGAGGCTGTCATCTGACGTTCTATCGCTCCGAGTGTTGACGCCCGTAATACTTGTCGTCAAAGTAGTTGTTTGACACGTAGTCGTCGCCGTAACCGTTTTTGCAGAACAATCCGTTGTGGCCGCCAATGTGTGAGCGGGCGCGCACGTCACCGTCGTTGAAACTGAATCTTTTGTCGCTGACGCTAATCGCAGTGGAACCAACGGCCACACGTTGATGTCAGTGAGGCCGTCCAGACCGACGTTTCCATTGCCGTCAACAAAGAAGAAAAGTCCTGCGGTGCCAGCCAATCCCGCGCCGAGTAGAGTTTTCGCTGTGAACTGCGACCATATTTCCTGGCTGTTCAGGATTAACGTCGAATCGAGAAGAAGACCGATAACGACGCACGCAATGGCGACTGTGGCAATCGCCGCTGAGGCAGCCAATGTCAGGCGACACGATGGAGTGCGGGGGCGAAAGACGAGCGAGTTGGCACAAGCGCCAGCAGAGGAAACTGCCAGGGCAGTGCCACCAAATGTTAGAAAAACCAGTGGCTTGTAGTCGAAATCAAGTTTTGCCGATTTAATGAATAGAGAAATTGTGGCCAACTTACCCCAAATCAGGTAAAATGTAGAGAACAGAACGAGTTGGCGACTCACCGAAATTATTTGATACGGGCTCATGCTGTTGTCATCCAAAGGCGAGTTCAACTGAACAGAGTTGTAGGTGAACGCTGCTGAAGGCAAAAAGTTTGTCTTCAGTTTTTGACGTACGCTAAAATTTAGGATGGTGACAGCTAGTGAAATGAATGACATAAGCAGAGCGGGTAAATAGCTCGCCACCTGGTGAAGGTACGCGCTAATTGCCGGCTGAATAGCCAAGGCTAGAAAAAAAATCAGAAGTCGATGATAAAGATGACACAACGCAAGTAGATACCGTTCGGTAAAGAACACTCCAACACCGAGTAAGCAGAACGCTAATAAGTGGCTGTAGAAATTCCATTCAGTTTCTATGAGATAGACCAGGACCAGCACTATTTGAGACACCGTTACGATACTCAATCCACAAATGAATGGCAATTGTGGCAGTTGAAGTAACACGTACAATGAGGCCACTACAATTATTGGCGTGGCCACTAGGAGGCCAAAATGTGACCTACCAATACTATCATCAGTGGACGTGTTCCGCAGGTAAGCAAACTGATGACCTATTGCCGCCGTACAAACGTACTGCGCAAGTAGAATGGAACACATTACTGTCCATTGTTGTGTGTATGCCGAACAGGCAGTGCGTCGCTTTCCTCCGTCCTCCTGGCCTATTTCGATCATCTTAACGTCGGCTTCAGACGCTGCAGATAGGTTATAATCATCTGTACGTCGACAGCAGAGTGCAGGAATCGACGTAAAGTCAGGACCATGTGCTTCTGTTTCCGGAATATTTGGCGAGTTAACACCGAACATAACCGTGGTCGTATGTTTTGCTACACTTCCTGGACATTGTACACTGTCTTGATTTGGCGAAACGGCGCTGTCGTCCATTTTTGCGCAGACGAGAACAACTTAAAACAAACGCGCTTGATCGCAAGGTAAACCAGTTCGCTACACTGTCTCAACTCTGAAATTCACTTGAAAAATAATAATAGAATTAAGCTCTATGCTCGATGATACAGGAGCTGTTCTTATCCGTTGTTGTTATTTTCAATGAGTCTGCGGTCGAGCGCGAATCGACGAAACGATCACAACTTCAGTGATCCTTCCACCTTTCGGCAAACTGATTGAAAACAGCATGAAGACACTTCAAATTTGCCCCTAGATCTTTGACTTAGTCTCACTCGTTCTCTTCCTTCTCTAAGAAACGTATTCATGGAACTGCTGTTCACGAAGTGAGGATAGCTCAAATAGACCAGTGCCATACATTGTCTGCGCAGAGAAATGTGAGAAAAGCGGAGCTATACATGTAAGTATGGCGGTCAAACGGATACGCTGTCGGATGATGCTACCGAGCCATCTAAGCGACCATCTATCTATTCAGTCGATCAGTGTACCGGAAGGTACGGAACGCTACGTGCTGCTCGCCAACGCAGTCATCGTCTAGTCGATCTTACAGATTCGTCCCCTCCGCTTGAGTCACTTGTTTGTATTTCGACTGATTCGTTTACAAGCGTTAGATGGATCATCGTCGCCGCCGTTCGTTATTTGCTGAATTTCTATGTCTCGTCTACAATTAGCGACAAAAAAAAAAAGACACTGTAGTTTAATTTCGATTTCATAAAGGTGGTTTGAAACTCTAATAAAAATACTCTTGCTTATATTTTAAGAACAGATGCATGATTCGTACATCGGTTACTTGACACGGCTTAATAACCCTTTTACATACTAGGTTAGCACTTTTTTTATCGACCTTTCATTCTACATACATATTCCTAGTTTTCTCGTCGTATATATTGGGTACCGGCAGATCTGATTGGTTAGGAGATAGCATGTGTATGTTGCACTCGGCTATTTAAGAGTTGCACCATACGTGTATCCCAGGCTGTGTACCGTGGCAAGATCAAAACATCAACTACGTCACTGCGTGAATGGATTTGCTTCTCGCGTGGAATAAGCTGACGCTTTGAAACAAAAAGCGTACGCGTTCCACCCTCAACCTCCGGCTGTAGCAGCTATTCGGTTTATGTTTACTGTATCGTTTCGCATTTCCTTTCAAACGCCCGCGCACTCGTTTCATCCTTGCAAACGCTGTTCGCTTGTTGAATTGAAATGTTTTCCTCAAATTTGACGATGCCTTTCGTCTTTGTGTTTCATCATCATTCTCCCTCGGCTACCCCCACATACCGCTGAAAGGTCCGAGTGACATAAGAGCAGGATCAGTGACTACGGTGGCCCCGTGCACGGACAACCTGTCCGCTAAAGAAAACTATTCATACCGTTTACGTTCCTCCCCTACCATTGTATACATCACTACCCAGTTCTGCTCGCCTCTTCAATTCACTTTGCGGTCTGTTCCTGATGTGGCGTGGAGTCGAGAAGTCGACCCCGCATTACTAAAACACGTTCTGTGCGAGTCTCCGTTTTCGTTCCACCACCTTTGCTGCTTTGTTCCCCCATCCAGCGCATTTTACAGTTCGTCTCGCCTCTCGTTATCTTTCGCGTTCAGGCGTGTTCCATTCTCGGCTGCCTGAATGCACCTTCGTGACGACTCCGAGTAGCCCGGTAAATGAGCGACCAACGATAATGACATGACGATGCCTAGACCAGAAGTTTCGGTTCCGAATCTTCTTGACCGGCGCAAGCCAAATTAACGTACACGGCTGCTCACTCGCTAGACCGCTCACTAACTGGGCTAAACGAACATGCTGGTCCCGTTCGTTCATGGAAGAAAACTGGCTCCTTATTTTCATCTTGTTCCTTTGCTCTTTCGAATCATTCGCTTTCCGTTGTTAGCATACGACTGCTATTGTTGCTGCTGAAACCTGCAAATATGAAGCGGAATAACCCTGCAAAAATGGAAACCGTCAACGCAGCCTTTGCTTTGATTCTTCCATTCTTGCGCGATAGCAAGAAAAACAGAAGAACCAGTAGAAATATACTAGAAGGGAGAAATCAGCCCTAGAAGCTCTTGTAAAGGAATAGAAAAGAATAAGAAGAAAAAAGAGAAAAATAAGAGTTGTATTTGAACAACTTTCTTCTAAGCAGAAGCGAATCGAGAGGAGAGCTAGATGCGTGTGCATATCATCAAGGACTGCCCCCAGGGCGTGACTGTGGGGCAGCATGGCCTGAAGAGCGGAAACGCTCTGTCTACCTTACCTAGCCAGTGCTCGTAAGTAATTCTCTTGTGTCGATTTCTAAATACACAATGCTTGTTCAATTCTGTCCGAATCGTCCATTGTAAAAAGTGGCGGCGTCATGCGCAAACTCTCGCTTGTATTTTGACTTTTTAGCAACGTTGCTCGAAAAAGAAAGACAGGGGAGAACCTGTTAGCTGTGCTGGAGGTCGATTACCCTTGACCCCCATAGATGCTCATTGATTGACCCCTCTTGTCCAGTAAATGCATAGCGGTACATTTGCGTGTCCGCACATCCTCGGAGTATTAAAGTTCTTTGGGGTCACCAAAGTCTTGCGCAGTTGATCTTCAACTCCTGCACATCTAGGTACAGAGGAGTGTACGAAGCGTGCCATCCCTTCTTTTGCTGCTATCCTGTGGTGTCTTACCGTCACCGCAACCACGACATGCGGCTTTATCCTCGTACGTCTGCATATAAGCCCAACTGCTCGCTTCAGTACCGCCATCGCCCACGATGATATCATTGCATGTGCGCAAGTTCCGGGTCGACTGTGGCAGAGTGCGCGGCAAGAATGACAGGGGGTATTGGGTTGAAGTTAAGCGCTATATTAAATCGCGGGCTTATGTGGCCTTTGCTGGGGCTTCACCCACTTTCACTAAGCTCTTATAACAGAAGGAACGAGGGAGCAAAAAATTATATGGGAGGAAAGAAGGAAAAGACTGCCCGCAAGAGCCACCTTACGGGTAAAAATTTAAGCAGCAGCACCAGCAGGCAGGTCGTCGTTATGGTTGTAATCCTACGGAGTTCATCGGGAGCGCAATTCCGTTGACAATATCCGCGCCACTCATGCGTTTTTAAGTGATCCCCCTGGGCAAGTATGCGCTTTCATTGCTATCACTATGGGTTGCGGAGTTTATAGAAACAGTCACAGCCACTACCGTTCCACAGATTAAATTATAACTTCTTGAAACCGCTACATGTAGTCAAACAGGGTGCCACTGAGGCTCCGCTGTCGTTTCCGGATATTCTGAGGCCAGTGTAGGTATAACTAACCAGCTATAGGAGTACCTTAACGTAGATACCGTTGTCCTACGCGAGAATATGCAAATGTGGCCATTGACGCACTATACAATCAAGAAAGACACATAGTTAATTCATGGTTTCTATAATTGCTGCAGCGAGTCAATTCATTCATTGCTCATTAACAACATGAACAGAAAAGGCTTACACATGTTTTATGCAGATTATCTCTGAAGTAAATGTCTTTCTTGACACTACGTTACAATGATGAAATGTGTGTTTATTTGTTTTTTTTCTTCGCTTCCGTATTGATGTTGCTTAAAATTTCTGTATATTTTTAGGCATACAACAATTGAACAGTAAATGACACATAGTTCGAGTATATGCCTGCATTATTGATACGCAAAACTGCGTATCGCTGATATTATCATAACTATTATGTACAATTGAATGATGAATGCACAAACAAAAGAGCATCACGGTAAAGTCCTTTGAAAAAATATCTATTGGTCCTCAGTACCGTTGTAAGAATGCTTGTTTTTTTATGTTTAAATCGGCATACGATGCACGATGTAGAAAATAATAATAGTAACAATTTAGTTCAAATAACAATAGGTTCAAACAGGACATGTTAATCACACATGTATATATATACAAGAATATTACAGCGCATCAAACCGGACTTTATTGTAGATTGACGCGTTGCTATTCCAGCGTATCCATTCATCGAAATCGTTCCGATGCTCACGTGAAAAGTGGCTCCCTCAACCGCCGGCAAAGCCTGTCTTACGCCCGCCGATCGGACCGTTACCGCCGTCCGACGAACCCGCTGAATTGCTTTTGGGTTAGCATACGATCACCACTATCTGTTACCGTTACTGTTGCTGCTACCTGTGAGAACTCCGAGAAGCTCAGCGGTTCGACCGACGAAATCGCTTTCGTACGTGACCACAAGCAGATTGATAGTGTCATCAGCGTCGGCCAGTGAAGGCTCGCAAGGACAGTCAGGTATGCAGGTTCGCTCTAGCTACGACCGGATATAAACAAAGTAGTCGCCAAATGCCACTTTTCCAGCGATGAATAGACGGTAAAACTACAGTTCTCCTCTGGTTGGCAGCCGTACAGACGACGGAAAGCCTTATTGTAATAATAAAAGAAACACATACTTGTTTGTTTTGCGTACGACAAGACTATATCTGGCCCGAGGATTGCAACGAGACCTCCAAAATGGCAGCTGCATAGTGTGCACACAAATACAAGGCACGTGGTCGTTTAAATCGCTACAACTGTCAGCTTTCGTATCGTAATCTTTTTCTGGCTTCATCTCTTCGAGCGGTGCTAGGCTTAGCTTCAGTGAGAGTGAGGGGAGTATTTTTAGGACGGCATCCTCGCCCGATGCTGGATAAGCGCAAACAACGAGATCGTAGTTTGCCGGCCAAAATTCTAATCTTTCGGCAAAAGGCATATTAGGTGGTGCCACTAGAGGGAATTTGGCAGCGCGTTGTTGTCGGCGGAAGCTTATCCCGTGTCCGTTTTCTCGAATTGTGAGGTCTTCTTATTGACGAGCACACACTATAGGAGGCCATCCGCAGCTTCTACAAACGAATTTAGACGATTCTAGGAAAGGCTAGATAACAAATCGTCTTCTGCAGAGCACCATTACGAACACTTTTCATAATATACACCTGCCTGCTACGCATTTTCTCGTCAACTAACTGCTCGTAGGAGGCAATGCTTATAAAAGTAACTGCTCGTCATCGTTCTCAGCAGTCATTGCAGGTCGAGTTGGGTGATCAGGACGTCCTCCCGTGACAGCTTCGAAGACCGCGAGTCTACAGTCAAAAAGATAATCAAGTAGATGACAAAAGTTAGTAAAAATGACCGATTATGAGAAAGCTAAATTAAAAAATCAAAAGTAATAATATCAAAATACAATAGCTATCTAGCCTAACGAGCAGCAGCTGTTTATGAAGGAATTAGATTTTAAGCTGTTTTTTGATTTTAGCCAATATTTAAAATCTAACCGGACTTTTCCGCTTATTGACGCAAATGGCTTAGGTGATACACGCGCTTAGCGGCGGTATGAACGGCAAGGCGATGAAATCTTCTACATCCAGTTACTCTGTTGAAGGACAAGTAGCGTTCGAGCGACCTTCAATTATGTCACCTGCACACTATATTCGTAGTGCAACATACACGATAGTTCATTTTAAAACAACTAATAAAAGGAACATGTTTCTTTAAGCAATTTAAGCAAGATAATAATAACGGCTACCTTTGCGAAACGTAGTAATAATGACAACACTCGGAATTCGTTCATAGTACGAATCTCATTGCTGCCATTATTCTTACTAACAAACACAAACAATTGAAGTCATCACCGTTAGTCAGGCAGATTGTAGGTAAACATAAACCTCGTTGGAACACTTCCACTCATAGAAAAAAAGGTCCTTTATGACCTTGGACCATGCGAGCATATTTAAGCGGAAGACAAGACACCTCTAACGAAAACGTAAGCTACGTTGCAGATGCACACAGGCCCACGTGGCCTGCCGCGGTTGTCCTTCTTCAGCCTGGACTACATCTTCTAGGCAAGCTCCTTATTCCTCTATTTTTGATCTGTACGCGCCTTAATGCAATCGTGTTTTCTATTTATGTGCTGTTGGACAAAGGGGAACTCCTGTTAGCAAGACCCTCTTTCAGCTTAACTTGGTTTGTTTCTCTTTCGTCCCAACAAGGTTTTAAAGCACTAGTATCGGCCAGGAAAATCCCTGTAGATTATCGGATTGTAGGACCACAGCTGCGTAATTCTCGCATGCTCTATGCATGGACTAACAATGTCGTTTGGGGCGTCGGTGCCACCAGCCACGACTGCATAACGCGTATAATAATAGTAGCAAGGCAAAAGGTTTTAACTGCTGCGTGCTGCTAGTCGTAGTTACTTAGTACAAAGTAACAAACAATTATAGCAGTAGTAGAAGCCTCAGTAGCCAATGGGAGTAAAACAGCATTCGGAAAATTGCAGTCCCAGCCACAGCGGCGTGAAGGTGACCACGCGGAAAGGGGCAGGAAGGGCAAACTTCGACTTCGACTTCGCCCAACTCCCAGCAAAGCTACAGTGTGGTATCAATGAGAAATACAGGGCAGCGCGTGGAGAGGGCGTCCGTATCGTCACTTAGCCGCTGGCCAACGGCTAAAGTACGAAATTTATAAGCGACCTTTCTACACAGGAACTTTTTAACAGAATGCATCAAATAGGGCAGCAGCAACAGCAGTCGACGGAGTAAGACAATGCGGTGGTGTGACAATGGCACGACAACTCGACCTACATTAAGCGATACCGTTTGATTTTTTTGCTTGCGTCCTGTTCTATGCGAATGTGCAATTGCTGTATCATACTCAGGAAAGAAGCGTCAAACGCGAGAGTGTCAAGGGACAATATGAAATCATAACGCCAGAAGTGGATAAGGTCTCTTTCATAAAAGTAACATAGCGGTGTTTCCGATGTGGAACACATAGCAGACAACTCATGTGCATAATGATATGTTTTCTTTATGACAGAACCAAAGTTCTATAATTTAACTCTAGAATTTAAAACGCAAAAATTGTTCCCTCCTTAGAATTACGATGATACTCGTAATAAATAAATATTTAGGCGCAGTGGCAATCAACATTGTCTTTCAAAATGGCTCATCTGTCCTCAAAAGAAGGTGACCATTGAAAATGTCCAGAGTAGGTTTCGGTAGGAAATATAAGGCGTTGTCTAAAATCTATCACAACATGATATTATGCCACCTAGCTGAATTACCGGCCAATTACAAATACTTTCAAAAAGCGTTAAGGCGTCAAGCACGTTCGAACACATATCAGAAGACACAAGGTCACAAGACTTTTTCCATAATGAATAACAGAGCTAATAATAAAAACACAATTAGTCAACGAAAAATACCTTCACAAAGGTAACATTGCTTCCATCCAAACAAGAAGTACCTATCTTATATCCGGTATGAGACAGTGGCTGGAGCCAGCTAATGCTGTGTATGTACATAGAGTTACATATATATTACCCAGTGACATCTTGGCACCCTTCCGTGAGAATGAAGCCGTTCATTTCGACCGATTTTTGCAAGGGAACGTGACAACCACTGGCCGCGAAAGATTGCGTGCCATAGCGGGAAATAATGTTTCGGCAAATAATACTAAGCGGATGGAACAATAGAAAGATTTATTCCTGCCGCTGGCTATGTACCAGGACAACTTAGGTACGATGAAAGGTAAAACGGCCACGTATAGTCTTCAGTTTTTCGACTTTTCGACTACTTAACGCAAACAGATAGCGACAGTAGACGGACGCCAACACCAACTATCACGGGTATCCGCTTTGTTAACGTACGTTTCACCGATATTTAATAATTAGTATATGCTCTTGCGCGGTATTGGGACCGCTCGAACAAAGTATGCGTCACAAGAGACCAGTTTAAAAACCTGACTGAGGTTCCAGCTGGCGCAGTTTAACAAGTTTCAGTTACAAGCACGTATACTTAATAAGCGCGCGCGCTTTTAATATGCCTACAGTATTCTAGTCTTTGATGATATTCTTAATCACCCGAACAAAGAGCCGTGAAACGGGTCGGATAGAAACGACCCAACCCAACGTTAAAGCCGCTGCCGTCTAGTCAACGGGAGCGACAAAGAAACAATAGAGAAAGAAGAAAGAGCCTCTCAATGGTGCGCGCACACTTTGAGAATACTAAAAAAAACTATAGATAAATTGTTGTTTACTGCGCGACAGTGCTAAAAAGCTATGATTCATTAACATGTCTGCCGGCTACCGCGCCTGAATTAGCTATTGGTTAATGCGTCGATAGTTTACAAAATAATCGTAGGGTAACACGTGTCAGATCGAGTTAACAGCCATATAAAGTCATAGCATACAAAACGTTCAGTTGTTATTTCGAAATAACCAATTTAGACATAAATATACTTTCGAGCGTCTAGAACACGAGCTCTGTATGAATTTCGACGATTCGTTCTTAATTGTATTCCGCAACATAATACCTTGTAACATATCTGCAAGATGTTATTAGTAAAAGCATAAGTTATTGATGTGAGTGGCTTCCGAGGGCAAACTAAACGTGAAGAGGTATTAGCTGCTCGGAACAGTATTTCCTCTGTGATTTCGCCTTGAATATAAGTGAGATTTGAAGTACCTTTGGATTCCTTGCGCGAATCTCGACCGTCGGACATCTAATGGCGACGTATAGTCGATATCATTTTAGAAGCTTAATATCGTATGAGTGCCAACAAGGTTTGTTGGATCAATTAATTTCACCGAACTTGAAAAACCTCACCAAACTGTTTCTTGGCAATTTGAATTGAAATTGGTGCTAACACTGGTCTATTTTTATGACAAAACCTTTCAATTTCTTCTATGTCAGAATAAAGTTAAATCAGGGTATTTCAATGATTTTGAAATGGAACTTGATAATTTTGCATGCCACTTGTATTAAGACAGCCTCGTATGACAATCGTAAGCTATGTAGCTGATTGGCATTGTAGTCTACTTCCTGTTTGGTTCCATAATTAAAACCGAAGCAGAATTTTCGTGTCATGCCGGCGTCTAACACGTGTCATCATGCTACACCCTATAAACTGAGCTTCTACGGGCTGCATAGGTAGCTTATGTTATACAGTAAGATATTCTTATCTTTCCCGTACCATATTGTGTCATCCACGTGGATGATGAACATCGTATTTGTATAGCTTGGAAAATGCAGACCCACAAGAACAAGATGAATATATTCATTATTGCTCTCAATTTGGGTAATTAGGTGGTCAGCAAAAAGCTCTGTTGAAGTTCGCACATGAATGGCCTCCAGTTGCCACCACGGTCCCGAAATGATGAGCAGATGCTTGTGTCCACAAGTTATTTTAAGCTAGTGTCTGATAAGATTACGGCAACGTTATGCAGCTTATATAGCATTTTTTCTGAGTGATATAAATGGGTGTGTTGCTTAAGGCGTGAATAATACAGACGATCAACTGTGACCATCTCATAAGTGGCTTTTCGTTTGTCTTTGCTTTTTAAAACACCTTTATTGAGAAGCTCTAGATTGAATGGAAATTTCTTATTTTACAAGAATCTTAAATTCTGTGCGCGTCTATGCAATAATTTATGTGCACTTCATTTATAAATTTTAGCGTTCGGTCATCGTCTAGGCTGACACAACGTTTGAAACTTCAGGAATGCGCCCTATTTTCACGTGGTCTCATTGTATCAGAGTCAATTTAAGTAGTAACGAGTTGGTGCTATGTGCTCAAAATGCCGTTGCTAATAAACACTATTTGACCTTATTATTATTATTATTTTACAAAGCAATGAATGAACGAATATGTTATAACATGATTTCTTAGGAATGAATCAATTGATAGCCTACGTAATGAAGTAGGATCCGATCTGAATGCACCATTGACATATACATCAGCGAAGTCCTTATTGAGTACTCTACGTCCACTCAATAAAGTATCTACATATATTTATCCTTGTAGAAGTACCCAACGAGCTAGCAGAACATCATTGCCAACGAACGGAAATGCTGCCACATGATTGCAATTTTCGAATCTTATTGAACCTGGCTTCATTAACACGGCACAGCGATGCTAAACTGAGGTAAATGCAATACACACTGATAAAAAAAAACGATGCATTTGCACTTTGCCAAAATTGCAGTTCCAAAACCCAAGAACTGATCACTTCGCGAAATCGCGGGCAGAAGAATCGTCGTCTTTGAGGTGGACTTGACAAAAAAAGGGGCGAGCAGCAGCTTTCCGATTGGCTTGTCGCTACTACAAATCCATCCGGGGCCCCTGTGTAAGTAGATTGTGTACAATTGCTATTTAATTTATTGAATGTTGAATAAATTGCCCCTAGACAGCAGCCAGCTCAGCAGCAGTGTGTAAGCGATGCATGTAATGTCATCACATACTGGTGAGTTCGGACCTAGATACGCTTCTATCATTAGCTGAGTAGCTAGTTTTCGACACATAGACAAAGATGTAATGGCATTTCAATTGGCACGACCCGATGCACGGATCGATAAATGCAACGGTTGCGCATATATAAAGGATCCCCCAAAACGAGTCAACTGTACCCGAGACCGGTCTACAGTTTTCGGACTGCAGTTTGATGCCTTTACTGTCCATTTAATGTGGTGTAAAATAGCACAAGATAATAACCCCTTTATAATCACCGTTATTTTTGAGTGTATTATATATAACGTATATAAGGAGGTCCTTAATGCTGCCCAATCTTATTTACGTCGCTTCGCTGAAATGAACGGGATATTTGCGCGATACTTTATTAGACAATGGTTACTCGAAGCTATTAAACGCAAGCGCCGGATTAAGGATGCACCGCCACGCGATGCCATCCGTCTGATACCAGAGGATGTCACGTGTGGGGTGACGATTAGCAACAGTAGCGAATCGGCGATGCCAAAGCATAATATTTAATCGTGCAAGATAGATAGTCGAAATAACAATACGTCGATGGTGTAGCTACCGCAACAACCGATAGTACATTGTCATTAACGCTAAAAAATTCTGGTAAGGGACATGTATTGCTCGAAGTAAGTACCTGTTAAGGCTTGACAACAATATACTGACAGAAAGGCGACAATAACAAAGACTGATAATGGGTTTGGATGTTGAAGGCACGCTTTGACGGAACCACGAAAAACAACGAAGAATAGCGTACGGCGTTTGTCGTTCTAATGAACTGAGTGTGATTAATAGATTACTTTTGTTCCCTGGATAGTAGAATACGAGCTGGAACATCTATTTTCTCCATGTTAGTCCTGTTTCATGAACAGTAAACGATTTCCCATCTTCATGTTGGTAGATTAGAGAAAGAACTAATCGAAATTACCGTCGTGAATCTATGATATTGCATAGGCATTTGTTCAGGCATGGGAGTCAAGCTGTTCTTCCAATCAGTCAATGTCGATAACAGATCTTTCACTTGTATCACAAGTATATAGCGAACGACAGGAAACGATACGACACATATGATCAAAATCTGAACTTTTTATTGGAGAGTTGCAGTATGTCTAAATGAGTTACATAAATGCCTTAGCTTGACCACCCATCACGGTGGCGTCTTCCCAAAACTCAAGGATAGAATTACTAGCTAGATTTAATTAGAATTAACTAAGCTTAGCATAGTGGATAGGACAAGCAAGAATGTTATACAAGTGCTTGGTTAGAACAAAGAAAGGTAACGTTTTATGAAAAACCTTGTAGACAACAAAAAAACAACCATTCGAAGTTCATGCTCATGCAACAGAGTAGGGCAAAAGATGTAAGGACCTCACAGCAGTTGGAAGCTTTCTATTTTGATTATTATGTCTTTGGTAGTGTGCTCTTTGCTAAACGTAAATATAAACGGTTTCTTCGAAAGAATCTAGTTCGAGAAACGTTCTACGCGTCATGGTAAATTATACCAAACAAATCTGGCTAATATCGTCTAGATTCAAGGATGGCTCCATTCGAATGCTCGACATAGGCACGTGTTACGTATGTACAGAAAGCTAGACTAAAGCGTAGAATTCAGGGAAGTACGATTCAAGTGAATTTAATTATCGTGCCTTAATAAACGAATAAATCAATCAAATAACTCAATGCAAGATAATGACGCACATGTTATTGACAAACTTCTTTCAAGTAAGATAGCCCAATCCGTACATGTGAAATTGTTGTTTATTCACTCCAGTGTTATATTAAATTACTCATTAATAAATTACCAGATTTTTTTAATATCACTGAAATGTTCTATTCTATATCACTTATTATTTTTTAATTTAAAAATATCACTCTGTCGGTGGTTTTATTTTCGGCTACAGCTATTATTTACGTGAAACCCGCGGTTGACTGCGTAGTCAATCCGCAGTGCGACTTTCACACTCTGTCAGTCATTTTCAGCTGCTTCGTTGACACTCACTTACACCCTTCATTTTTACCTGATTTTCGTTTATTTTGTGGCCTGCTACATGTTTCAACTTTAACGTGATTCTTTTGCTTTGAATGCAATTACCAACTAGATTTAGCGTGAAAATTATCAAGTCATATCTCTGTTATTTACTGTTAGGCAGAATAGTGATTGATTTTGTCTTTTTTTTTGTATGGGCTGAAACTTTTTGGCGCTGGCACCCCGGCAACCGGTGCAATACGCTTGCGATACTGTAGAAGCTATCCCAGTCTATTTAGTTCTTACTGAAGACCACTGAATAGTTTTCATAGCGTTGAAATCTCTCAGGTAGATCGTAGCAACTTGTCGGAACATGATAATGTTCAATTATACTGTAAACGTAGAAACGGAGTACGGGTCTTGCGAACGGGCAGAAAGGTAAATCGGGAAAACGGTGGCCAACAGCGAATGGGGGCGATAGAGTCAACATGAATACTAGCAGCATAGGCATCATCCTTGTCATAAGAGCCATCATCATTAACAACGATAACAAGTATTAACATTCGGCTTAATTCACTCGCTTAGGAAAAATAGCCGCCATTTAATAATAAGCTCATTTGTCTATCATCTGTAAGAACACTGCTTTTTGTTACGTATATCTAATTTAGGATTTAAGCATTCACACGAATGATACACACTTTTATCCCAAGTAAATCTTCACGTAAATGTCACGCACACAGACATGGGCTTGTGCCCTTAGCCTGTAACAAATAAAAGCAACCACACACATTGATTCACACACATATAACGAACAGAGTACTATGTAGGATGTGACGAAATTCTGCGTTTGGTCTGGGCGACAAAAAAAGCGTGCTTGAGACCGATAAAATCCGCTCTACTACACTTGAACTGAGACAGAGAGAGTGACGATGGGAAATCACATTAGCCGGGCCCTGAAAGGATCCTGGCTACGTCGAAAAAAGATATGAGCTAGCTACCTGATAGGTCACCAACATTTCGCCACATCCTAAATGTTATAGGCAGATATAGACAAAGTTATTACGTCCCGATTGCATATGAAAGCGTGTTCGTGACAGGATTCACCGATGAGTCTCGGTATGCACAGCAAGCGTACGCGTAAGTACAGAAACGAGTAACAGTAATTATAGTCAGCCCTAGAAGACACCCATCTACCTTTTTGGCAAAAAATTGCATCAGTCTCAGTTTACGATAATTAGTGAATTGTTCAAAGCACATGACGACTTCACTATGCCTCCGATGAGATCGGATTAGATCGTCTCGATCTGTCAAACTTGCTTTTATTTGTTTGTTGTCATTTTTTGCATACTTCCCTTGTTTTCTCGTCACCATCTCATGGTATCACAGAGAAGATATTATTATTTTTATGAGTCATCGTTTCATCATTTGAAGATCGTGCATATCACACTTATTCATAAACCCAAATTTCCTCTTACACTTGCCCGTAGGCAAGTCAATGCCGTATGGCTGAAATGCTATATTGTATATGCAAAATATGTGTTTGTCTTTACATATTTGGCAGGCCAGTACCTATATTAACATCCTACTCTCAAAACATGTTTTTCAGCTTTCGGGCACTTTGCCTGAGCAGCAGGTAATACTAGGTCTTGTTGTATTGTATGAATCACAGTAATCTGCAAATAATCCATAACCAAACACTGCTGTATATTCAAGGTTGAATCGTTGCCTGAATACGGTTATCTTACCGAAAAAGCGAAACATTAAACTCGACCTTCAGTTCAGACAATAGGAAGGGGCTTCTACGTAACCTCACACGAAATATCAGCCCACTGATATTATCTGAATAGTATCAGCGGGCGGCTTGAAAAGTGTCTATTTCATTCAACAGTTATTTTCCACTCTACTGAAAGATTGAATATGCTCCCAGTTCCACAGGATCGCGACAATTACTTGCGATTTGCTTGGCGGCTGTTATGAAGAGCAAGGTCTGCTTTTTTTTTGCAGATAGGTTTTGGTATGTAATGGCATGCAGCCGCCTGCTTACTCCGTTAGTGGAACAAAACCTATTATACAATTTCTTAGAGCGCAAGCGGCCCCAAGTAGTATAAAATGGCCATCTAAAATCTTCAAATAAGGCAAAGGATGGAGAAACAGATAGATGTTGGACAACGACAATTAAAAGTTATTTAAGTTGACAAGATGCTCTTATCTCGATAGATTTATCTCGATAGCCATTTAATGGTTAGTCTTATAGGAATGTGATTTTCTCATTTACAGTGTCGACATCGATCTAACACCTGTCATGTATTCGAAATGCCACGGGCTGGCTTCTAACTGACTTTTGCTACGAATAGATGGGTGTCCTCTTTTAGGCGAGCTGTTAAATCGCATCGTAACCTTTCCTCCCCCATATCGACCTTCGAATTTCCTCGTTTGTGCGAAGTTGCTCCTCCTCCGTTGACGCGACCACCGAACGAAGCAGGTGGGCTTCCTCGTGGGGTGCTGCACGCGAATACAAACGAACAAGAAATATATGATAGATAGACCCAACACTGTATTGTATAACTTCAGCAGAATGCTGACCTGTTTGAACCTTAGCACAAGTTAGATCGTGGGAGCTAGAGACATATACGGCTGGTTCAAAGTTTATCCTATAGCTGTAGCTTATGAAAATAAAGTGCTTTACTAGACATCGGTGCTCCTGAAAATGCGTAAGCGAATTTGCAAATATATAACGAAGTAATAGTGAACAGCAGCAAAAAAAATATCTTGAATTGAAGCAAAAGCTGACTACCAAATATTTCAGGTAGCCTCACCCCTATCCTGAGAAGTTAGTCATATATAGCTTATAGAGTATGACTCAGACCCGAGCACAAGAGAACACCCAGGCAGATTTAGTTGATGAATTCTTCTTGGGCAAAATTTACTAACGGTACTACAGCAATATAGCAGTACAGATATAACTTATCAAACGGACACATACCTTGTAGCCGTCGGTTTCCTAAACTTGTAACGCTGTTTCCGATGACACGTATATGTTGTTGCATGTCAGATGTCACATCGGAAACATCGACCATCGCAAGAAGCGACTGGATAAAGGAGATATTCCCGAAGCGGTCCGATCTGGAAGCAAGACATCAGGACATGGGGTACCATGTAGACGAAGTTCGTCATAAACATTGATTATGAGCGAATCTATATCAGCGCAAAAATTGCGAATTACTTTTACGCTTTTATACTTTGCAGGCCACTGATTAGCCGTAGTAAGACCGAGTTTGATCTGTATGAGGTCACACACAGGTTTCAGCCCACGTGAAGGGAACGATCCTCTCTGACGTCATCCTTTTATTGCATTTTTACGCTATGAACACAAAAAATAGATAAAATATTCCAAATATATGTATAATTACAAAAATATACGTATGTAGAAGATAGAAAATTTTGAAACAAGGTTAACGACCACTACACTGCGACATGCCGGTCAATAACTCTACAGAGTCTCTGTACCACAAAGTAAGACCGACTCAAGGATTGCTTTTAAGCTTTCGTACAAGTTATTTTTTTACCGAACAACGTATCCCGGTGAGCATATGTTGATTAATCTAAATCATATTCTTTTTTTTTATAATTGAGGCATGCCTAAATATGGCGTTGCAATTAAGACACTATATGAAATTAATCGAACCATCCGTGACCATGAATTTGAAACAAGCTCCACTCTGCTTCGTGCCTTTGTGCGTTACAATCATCATTATACCCGCACTGTATTTTTTGTGATATCGTAGTCATATTGTTCTAAGTGGTAGTCGGTCTCATAAACGAATCAAGTATTTAAAATTATGACACCCAGCCTTATTCTTCTCAGACACTTGATCAGATTTGATTTGATATTTTCGCTATTACGATCCACGACACAGGTAGCGCTGAGCTGCCATCGGCTGTCAGTATGTAGTACAACTTTTCATGTTTTTCTCTTTCGTATTCGTTTTTTTTTGTTTCAAGAGGTCCAAAAGCACTGCCATAGTCAATACGGTAAGGAGATAACGAGATGTATTCCTTCCGTGGCACTCAGAAAATCAATATATGTTATCAATAAATAAGGTCTATGAAAATTACTGCAATAAGTCGATCTTTTGGCTTTAATTTGTAACTCAAATATGTACTGGATAATAGTCTGTCACAACTCAGTTCAATATTCTGGTGAGTTTTATTTTTGCAAAATTTAACATTGTGACTATGTGTAGATATTCAAACCACGTGACAGTTATGCGACAGAAAAATGACACATATCAAATTTGAATCAATATGCTTTTTACCCTTAAATGAAATGTCTCATCTCAGCCAACCTATAAGTTTTTTTTTTGAAAGATGTCTTTGATTCAATCTGAATAGCAATATTCTATGGTTCCTTGTATGTGATGGCGGCCGTCGCACTACAGTTTCTAATCAACAGTAGCCTGACGTCTATGTATAGTTGAAATTGGGTCTAGTGGTATCTTTATGCCCATTTGAGGTAGTTTCATTTTAGATAGATGACCATACTGTCAAGTTAAAGCAGGTGATGCATAGAATTGCGAAATCTAGAGAATAAACTCCGATTTACGGAGTTGAAAAAAGAGACAAACAACTTACAGGTAAGGTTTGTAGGAAAATGTGTAGTGATGAGCAATGGCCGCAAGAAACATCTCAATACATATGAGGAAATCCTGTATCGATCTTGTTGTAGCTGCTACATCTGCTTGGTCTTCTTTTTTCTTTTCTTTGTTCTCCCACCAGATATAGATGTTGATCAGGACGCTTTGACTGCATTAGAAAAAAAACATTAAGCAAATGCGCGTTTTTATACACTGCTCTGCCTTACAAACCGTTATGGAGGACACCCCCTCTACTGTAACGTTTGTCACCTTGTCTATCACTGCTAATTCGTTTATTACACAAGCTCTGTTGCAACCATTAGATCTATACGACTCTTTCTAAAGCCTGTTCATTAGTAAACCGTCAGTGGGATGTGTGCGCTTCGAACATTTGTTCCAACCTAGTATATCAAAGCTAGCTTAGCCTTCCAATATATTGACTAAGGTTACTTATTTTATCAAAAAGTACTAAACTGTGCTCGTTTTTTAAGAGGTTAATGTATCAAAGCCATTCGCAGGCACAGCCTCATTTTCATTTGATACTATGGTCGTGTGGGATTTTACCAGCGTCTCCTGACAGCACAGGTCGTCACTGAACACGTCCAACTGTCCTCGTATTTCGAGTGAATTGCGTTCTGTTCAGCAGTTGTAGGTACACAACAAGTATGGCCGTTAAATTACTTACAAAAAGGAAAAGAAGACAACTGCTTTAATGCAGAGGAACTTCCCAATAGGCGACATGGGCGCGAGGTAGGATCGGTATGCTTTGTAAAACATTACGAGTGAGTACATAGCCACGAACTGCGAGATATTGTTGGCAAGAAGAACCCACGGAAACCAACAGGAAAGGTTAAACTCTCCCTCACAGTAGCTACCAGCAGCCTCCGTGACACTGAAATACGTTCGTGAAGAAACAGGTTAAGATAGACCTTGTTTATTTCCAAAGAATATCACTGTAGAATACATAAAGACGACTCGATAAGCAGAACCGTCGGTTTTTCAAGGGACTTTGTATGCTAAATTCCATCGATATCTATCTCGAGTTTACAATGTCATCATCGCTATGCATAATTGCGTGCCACGACGACCGCTCCACTTAGAATAATTGACGAGGATATATTGCAGATACGTACAATAAATTCGTGAATCTCAATGCTGTCTTTCGAAAGCGACTGAACCAGTAGAGCTTAGAGTGGACTATTTTTTGCTACAGAGCTAAAATATATTTGAAAGGATTGCTTACACTGCTATAAAGGTGGTGACTACACGAACTACGGTATACTGGAGAATGCCATGTCGGCAATTATCGATAAATGTCATTCCACCTCGACACGGTGTAAGGAAACAAAGTGGGAAGATATGCTTCACCTAAAAACAGTATGCGCAAACCGAACACGACAAGCATATTTCGAATTAACAGTCATTGCTTATAACTAATATTAAGCTGACTATTGACAAATACGTTCACTAATCAGATCACCTGTTCTAGAGTTTATATCTTAAGGATAAAGATTTTGTTTGTAATTCGTAAGTTTCCACATAATATCATAACACGACAATGAAAATGTAATAATATAATCGTTCAAGGTTTATAGACTTTTCTTAGCTGCTTGTATTAATCACAGACAAACACTCATGCTTACCGATGGTTGTTCACCAAGAGCGACTGGGTCGTAATCCTGATCGTAGAACAGATAGTTGAGCAAGAACATCATAAAGTTATATATCACATAGGCCTCGTAACATTCACGCACAACGTCCAGATAGAAGCCTCCTTGAGGCCAACCCAATGAGATCCACTGAAAAACACCATGATAATAAATATAATTATGCAGTATCTATGATAACCGCTTAGAAATCGCTTCGCGGATGATGAGACGGGGTAAAACCTTTACTGATATTTAATGTTTGATATTAGAATAGATATCAAAGTACGGAACATTTACTACCAGAATACCATTTACTAACTCCATTTTACGTTTTTTTCCAATATTTTGTATATATATATATATAGTTTTACTATAGCATTTGCAGATTGCTCAAGGTTATATTATATAAAATCAAACATTTGAAAGATTTGAGTCGGATCTATCAGAAAAACTCATAGTTGCCAATGAGTTTTATTTTTTTTGCTATATTGTGAACTTTATTTATATGGTCTTACTGAATTAATTGAATAGATGGGCACCATCCAAAGAACCCTGATAATGTGCTTTTGTAGATAAGGTTTACTATAATTTGCTATATGTCCAGCAATTTCATATAACGTGACGGGTGATGTCATCATTAGGAACGCCCCTGCCGCAAGGAAGGCCTGCGTTCGTTGAGACGCGCCTTCATGGATCTGTTCAGAAATAAGAGAAATAATCAGCACTGCACGGGTTACAATCGCATGTACAGAGTTATAATCTACGCCTGTTTAAGGTGACTTTTGGAGCGCTATATGGCGCATACATTATGACAATATTTCAAAGTTCCACTAAGTTGTATTTTGAGCAAAGCTAGTGCACATTTTCCCACATACCATTTTGGTAATCCACCACGGCAAGAACACTGTGAGAACAACCAAATAACAGATGCCCGAAACAGCCTTGAACCAAATCCGCCAATTGCGAAGGCATGAGTGGACTTTGAATGAGATCTGCCGCCGAACTGACCCATGTGCTTGGGATGGCGCAGTCCGTGTTGCTGTGTTCTCCATTCTTGTTCCTAGGTTCCGCTGGCCACTGCGCCCCTGCAGGCCGTACCCGTTCGGTCACTAGCACTACTCCTCGCCTTTGATCACCGCATATATAGCAATAAAAAATCACTGTATAGTCCGTCGAGACAACAGTTTCTAAGGTGAGCATTATTATAGTTAGATTTGGTTTATTTTTGCGTGGTATTGTTAGATGAGTGCCAGTAACATGTAACATGTAAGTTACTATGCCATTAAAAGCAACGATTACCACCGCAGTCATGCTAAGGTATAAAGCTTCCGACAAGAATCAGTCGTGAGGTTATGACTTTCGTCATACTTATACAAACAAAACAGCTAGCCTATTTTGTGTCCACAATGTTTAGGCTACGTTGCCCTAACGCTAACAAACGAATAGCAAGAGAAACTCGGATTGGCCTATCGGCCGGAATAACCTGTCAGTCGTTGAAAGCAGTATATATATATATATATATAGTATACATATATAAAATAGTGTGGTTAAGTATTGAATTAAAAAGAAAACAGCACACCCGGACCGGATGATAATTACCGGAAATGTGTTATATTGAACACTCAGCCACCCTATATGCAAACTGTGAGTTTTCTGTCGAGACCATTCCAATCCGCGTAACAACTATTTGGCTGAATCAGTATCATATATGTAACAGTATCTATACAGATTCGAATTATAGGCAAAGTTCCTAACTAAAGGCCAAATATGCCGAACGGTATTATTAACAGTCCGACTAAATGTACTCGCATATTCGCGTAAGTATTTGAAAAATCAGTGTTACTCTAATATTTCATTTTGAAATGAATATATTTGTTGAACAATATAGAGATAACTGATCACTGCTTGAGTAGTATGATGCTAAACCGTCCTATTTTACTGGTTCTCCTCAAGCGAGAGAACCTAATTGAAAAACGGTTCAGAGAACAATGTTTTTCGTGGACCTAGCTTTTTCGAGCTTTCCAAGGTAACATAGTTTCTGTGCTTCCTATAAAGTATGTATCCAGTGAGCTGTAGTTTCATATTAACTTGTATTCGTAATACGACAGCCAGGCTGGAGGATCTCTGTCGCGACGCTTATAGGTATACATCTTGCGCCATATATGAAATAATACTTTGCTACGAAAATTGGGGAATTATTGAGATGGTGCACTTAATATCTATTAAATCGTTACTCGAAAGTATTTAACCCATCATCCGTGTGGGATAATTTTTTTACATATAATTTACTCTTAGCTTTAACATTTAAGGATCACTTTGGCCGATGCTAATAAATATCTGAAAAAATAATTCAATGACAGCTTGAAACAAAGATGTATGCCGCACAGAAGTCGTGCAAGGGGAAAGGCCTAGAGCTATATACTAGGCTTTTCACAGAGAAACATGCTAAAGTCGGACAGGCAACATCTATGAGCAAATTGAATATTCCAACAAAGATTAATACCCTTTATTTACACACTTCCGATACAATGTGGGACAAACGCAGAGTTTTTTTTTGTGTAGAACTGTGTCATTATATCAGAACAGATACATTATATTAGAACTATACAGTGGATGCCGTAGGTAATTTTTTTTATCATGAGACTTAGAACTCATTGTAATATGGTGGACTTATATTTATTTCCATTTTTCTTAGTTTACGGTCTTTATATCAAAGTAATGCAGGGCTGCTGCGAGATGCTGATTCAACTAGTGAACTTCTCGCAACAAGTCCTTTAAAAGGGTCAAGGTGCACGTATTATAGTGATTCGATAGAGCCCAACCGAAATTAAAGGGATCGAAGGATAAAATCACGGGTATTAGCTAAATATTACTTAACCAATATTCGAAGGCAAGCAATAGGCTTACGGTGATTTGAGTACACACATTGTTATACACAGAGGACGGTAGAAAATAGGGTTGCCGAACTGAAATCAGTAAGATAGCAATTTTACCTTATTATTCCCTTTTTTTTTTTACCTCAGATCGGACAAGTGTGGTGACTGCAACCTCGTGCGCAAATGAAAGTGTAAAAAACATCAAGAATAAAAATAATTTATCAAGATTACGAGAGTATCTAAATTGACTAACAAAGAGGTCGACCGTTCCGGGCTAAAATTTATAAGAAATACAGGCGGTTATAGAAATCACCTTCGTAAATACTTACTCTTAAAACGTTAATTGCTATTTAATTTGTATATTTTACGCCATGACTGGATTTACGTTCTTACCGTTTAAGAAGGACTGTAGTTGTCTTTTTTTAAGATTATCATAAACGGCAACAAAAAAGCTTTAGAACACGTTGTACAGACTACATGGCCAACAACTTCACAAGTTAACGGCTTAATGTACGTTTCGTTGGGCATAGATGGTAAATAAAATGAAAGGCCAAGACAAATATTGTCGCTACGAAGAATTCCAATAAATATCAATACAAATTTCGATGCAGAATGAAATATGCTTTATTATTTATTTCAAAATTCTGCTACGATAAGGTTTAAAGCTATCATTCTATTTTGCTGCCCCCTTTTTCAAGCCTACCTATCAATTCGAATGAAATAAAACTATCTGTCCGCACCACAGTTTTTTTTTTATAAGTAAGGCACGACTGTAGGTAACCAGACCTAAAAATGTGGAACATATATGTGTTGCAACATCACTCTGATCACGTTGGCTTTCTGGAGAGTTAACCGTGGTAGACATCGATTTCTGAGTGTTGCTTACAAAACTATAAGTTATAATGTTGCTAGTCAAGTCAGCGAAACGAGTGGCGTGTTCAAAGCCGTATATATAATCACGCGCAACGAGATAATATTAAAACCTGATTACTCTTGTTTCACCGAATACCACACAAACGTAGACACGCAAATCGTGCTTGTGTATGTAAAATATACGTAGAAAAACAAAATCTCATATTTACACTGCAAGGCACGTACCATTTTGTCTGGCAGCTTTGAAAAATCATTTCTTTTATCTTTTATTTAAAAATTTTATTCGCTTAAGACCTATCCAAGATAGATGCCTACAGCACAGTTAATACAAAATACATGTAGAAGAGCAAAATGTAAAGGATCGTACGAGAATAAATTGATACGCATTGTCCATTATACTGGTAATTCAGCTTTTTGTCATTGTGCAATATAAATCAAGCAACGTACGCCGGAAGTGAAACAACCGAATTAGTCACCGATCTCTATCGTCGACGCCTTTTATTTGTGTACTCACGCAAGTTCCCTTACGGATTGCACTGACAAATAGGTTGACTAAAGTCGCTAAAAGAGTATACTATAAAACAATGGTATATGTTGACAGTCGTAGAAGTAGGAAATAGTTCACTACAGTCCTGACTCACTTCCTTCTGCGGACACAATGCTACCACTTCAGTGATCATTGATTGAGTAACTTGATAATCTATTTGAATCCACCGACCTAGCAAGAATGCAAATTGAATTGGCACTCTTGGCAATTGCAATATTTTACGTCATTTTCAGGTGACCGCGCAGCGGTGGAAAAGCCGATTTATCGTTCAAAAACACTCTCAATAGTTCTAAATATTGTCTTGCTGATGTCATTTGGAAGCATGCGCGAGTCAACATCACAATGGGATTTTGGATTATCCAAAGTGGACAGACCGTTGGAGAATAATCTTTTTGCTTCACGCGATACGTAGGCAACGGAGTGAAAAGCCTGAAATTAATATTTCAAAGAATTGTACAGCAATCTGAACCCATCAGATGTACAGGTTTGAGTAAATTATATAGTTCAGGTACGTTACCATGCAGATGACGTAAATGCTGGAAAGACCATTTTCATTCACGTGCATATGCAAAATAAGAGTAGACATTACACAAAAAATTGACTGAATAAGCGTAACAGTCCGGTCGACCAAGCTAATGATTGGACTACTACTAATTTAGACGTCCAAATACATATAAATTAAAGCCAGACGTCGTGCATATTAGCCATCACCTTCTACCCGATGACAGATTCTCTGTGGAGTCACATATCTTCTACAAAGTGATGTTAGAATGATTTTCCGAGACACGAAACTTCTATCAGCTCGAACGCAGTATTTAAGGTATGTTGGGCAATTGCCGGACCGCAGTTACGTGAGACGTTTGCTTTCCTTCAACCAAGTCATATGTCAAGATGATACATAATATCAAAGTAGCCACTTTATATTTCAACGTTCTTCTAGATAGCTTTACATAATTCGTATGAACACATTAGGGAGAAAGCTTTTCGTCTACGATTGTTGTAATTACGTTGACTCACCGACGACTGCTATCTGTAACACAATGCCTGGTAGTCACCGTCTGTCATATGCACTATTACTGTAGGCACGACGCAATCACCCAACAAAAGTCATTACGTTTTTTAATCGAACTCCTCTTTTTCAGACGAGTCCCACTTCAATGGTGACTTGAAGATTATTACCAATACTAGTGACTGTCGTAACGTTTACCAACTGGTTCGCTCCTGACATATGAAATAACGACAGAAAATCGGTCACATTCGAGGTGTAACGAAGAATGGACTATGTGGTGAATTTTGTCATTTTGATCATCGAGAACAGAACGGTCACCAGAAATTATATTCTATATCGACAAAAAAAAATACTTTATATCGACAGCAGTTTCTTCTCCGTCCAATTCCTCACGATTTGTTTCACGTTCTGTTACCTGGAAGAAGGTCTAGGCAGCCACTCAAAACTCAACACACAGAGGCATTGCACTAAGCAGGCGCTAGGCCCTCAAAAGCCCTCACCCGTTGTCCGAAGAATAACCCTTAGTTCTCGGAGCTCCAAAAATTGAGTCGACTAGATGGGCGATAAAGATAAAAGTACTTCATTGCTCTCTCGGTTTTGCGTGCAAAATAAAATTTTCGTAAAAAAAACCTAGAAGCTGTAAAAAGTCTCGGTTTGGGATTTACAACAGTAGGCTTTTTTTAGGACGTTAGATATTGGCGTTTACCTTTTAGAACACAAACACGACATAGCGATATTCTGATAGCTTACTTGTGCGTAGCTCGATTCCATTGAGCTCGCAGTGTGCCAAGTCTGTTCGACAGCTGATTGCCAAATTTCGGCTTTTATATTCCACAAGAAGCTTTCAGTAATTTATTGTGCGTGGGATCTACCTAAAATCACAATTATAGCATTATAAATATTTCATATATATACATTGATAAGGTAAATAACGGCCCGAACGTTATAACCAGTAATGGGTGACCAGAGCACTTTGAAGCACAGCCGGACCGTCTGTAAGTACACAGATTCGAACGTCTGGTTCTTGGAGCTTGAATCGAAATCGAATTTGTTTCGGCTAGATTTTATAAATTTTCCTTCTTAATTTTTGAGAAAAAAAAATATTTTGTATTCAATTCGTATTCGTCTGAATCTTTTTACTTTTTTTGCTTTGCCGGCTACTAGTCATCCACACAAAAATTCCTACTCATTTGATGCATTTGTGTCCAAAGCTGTAAACTTTATATAACGATAACTACATAATAATAATAATAATAATAATAATATACATAATATATGGTATATGTATAGGATTGTAATTTTAATGGAATAGCCTTCCGAATCGCGGCTAAGTAACAGTCTCCACTCGTTTGTATGAAGTATTTCAGTTATTTTGGACATGAAAGACAATGCGGTTTGCTCCTAGTTTTATACAATCTAAACTCCAACCGGTCATGAATTTGGCTAATCGTTAGGCAGTAAATTCGCAAATCTGTCCTACGTTAATAGCTTCCACTCATTAAACACTTATATATGTAAGTGGGCCGCACTCTAGTAGCGTATCACCCTGACTTGCGCAAAAGTAGTCTGAAGATGGTCATATTTGTTGTATATACACGCTGAGATACAAAATGGTTGTAGGAATACTCCGACGAATAAGTAAAAGGCTCATGCAAGCAATTAAGGAATAAATATCTATGCGAAAATGACAGATTAAATGGTGTTTGATCCAAATAGGGGAAAACGATTTTATTGATATCAAAGGCAGGTTCCTTAGTATTTTTTTCTAAACGTCTTTTCATTGTAGCTAGTAGTTCCACCCGCAGCGAAGGTGATGGCATGGAGTCTCCAATGAAGGCGGCATGTGAGGTTCCGATGCCAGTGTCTACTCATCGGGCACCAAGGTTCGTCCCAAAAGAGCCATATAAAGCCGCCGTTGGCCTCAGTAAGCGTGAGCATGAAAGGAACAAACTTCTACGTCATGTCGATCAACTTGAAAGAAAACTTGAAACGCTTCATGAACAGTACAAGTACGTTATTTTGCGTAAGCGCTTTAACGACGAGAGACATCTGCTCTTTGCAAAAAAGAACCAACAATACATTACGGGCCACCAACTATGAGGAAGCCATTATCAAAAAAGTTTAGGTCATACTGTAATTTGGAACGATAATAAGTGCTATTTTCCAATATGTGGAAAGGATTCAGGTGGACGTTAATGCGGATTTAAAGAAGCTGCTGGTGGCCTCTCTCGGTGAAGATATGCAAGAGCGTGTTCAGTTTCTTACCGAAGATAAAAACAGACTGGCGTCTGAAATTGCCTTTTACACACAAAAGCTGCAAAAAGATCTTGGCCACATTGACGAGCTTAACATAGAAGTAAGTTCTCGCTCGAACCGACCATTGTAGTAGGTCGCATCGAAACTATTCCATAATTCAAAGCAACTTAACTTTATATACAAATGTATATTTGTGTGCCGGTTATCTCGAAAGGGACTCTTGATTAATGTTTGAACTAGGATTGGTAGGAATTATATTATAATACGCTAAAACGTCTAAATGTATGAAAATTCGTTTTGATTTAGCAAAACCAGACGAAACTTAGGGATTGATAATTTGAATACTAACGTGTTACTTTTTGTTAAAAACGGAGAAAATATCGACCAATATTTGTCACTTAGATTAGAGCTACCATATTTAAATAAATGATTCTCTTTGTATATTCATACAATCTATCAGTAAGAAGTATGTTTTTGCTGGGCATCGAAGGATGCCTAAAAACGTCAAAGAAAAATGGCCAACCTATTTTGGTGAAAAAGGGTATCCAACCGATCAAAAGAAGTAAATTAGAAGCTATATTTTAAGGTCTTCTTCTAGTCAAAATGTTAGTAATTATAATTATAATACTGTGGTGATTCAGGTGGACGTTTGGAGAACAAAGTACTTAGCCACGAGTCTTCTCGTCACGGAGCTAGCTACGGTGAAAGCTGAGCTTATGAAGAAATGTGACGACTTTGAAAAAGCCGTGGAAGGTAGCCGAAAAGAGCGAGCCGAAATTACAGATAAGATCTTTAAGGTCGGTCCATACCTTACGGTATCCAAGCATATTTATGATCTTTACTGCAAATGTTATCGTATAAATCAGCTTTATAACACGATAGTTGTAAGTGGCGTTTCAGAGTAGCACAGAACTTCGCTAGTCTCTAGCAGGGACACGATTGAAAAAGTGAAGGGGTTAACGATCATTAAACTTTATGAACAACGTAATTTTAAGGTGAGGTTAAAATATAGTCGAAAGATTTGCGGAAGACTCATACACGGCAATAACCTTTATGACCTAAATGGTAATTTTCCCAAAATGAAGTGCGTATATTATAAATTAGAAATGAACCCTAGTCAACAGTACTAAAGAGGACTTTGTTTCATTAAACATTCTTTTCTTGTATCTGGGTAGCTTAGTTGGGTGGAGATAAACCGAACTCAAGATTTGATTCTATAGTTGTTCTAAATTTTCAAGTTTCCATTCTAGACGTTATAGGCCAAAGCCTTTCATTAGTTATAACATGCTTGACTGCGACATGTGGTTCATTTAAAGGCGTATAATATTCTTCGGGAGGTTCATTTCCAAGTTGAACTTCAGTCTTGCCCTAAACGCCGTCCCAGAGACCTAGTTGAATGCAGTCACTGGGTGCTCCAGCTTGCTTCTGGGATTGCGGCCAACTTTAAGCTCACTGTTCCAGTAACGAATGAGGTAGGGATGGAGCGAGATGTTGCCACTAGCTGGGTACGCTGATCCATAGGAGTTAATTTTACAGCGAAGATACATATTATTTGCTTTGATAGCCTTCTGTTAGCGTTATTACACTTAAATAGACATATCGGTAGGTATGTTAATAATAAGTGTTCACCTACGGACCGACCAGAATACGTACTGGAAGCCTCCGGGTTTTGAGTCGTTAGAAAGGATTTACCGGCCATGCAGGACTGTTTTAACCTTAAGTAGTTCTGAAGTTTTCTAAGTTTTACACTAGTAGCCTTTAATGCATTTTAACGGTGGTTACAACTTGCTCTGGAACGAACAGGTCCTCGATCAAACGTTGTCCGAAAAAACATGTGATATTGCACTAAACCAGTACAGGAACCTGACTTCAGTGATGGCTGCCCGGGCATGTGTGCAGGTTGATCAAGATACACAGGAAGACATGGTGAGAACAACCGGTGTGCCCACTTCGTTTGGGTGTCAAAAGTGTCGAGGAACCATGGTGCATGTATAATACTTGAGCCAAGTTAGGCCGTCGACCGACTGTGGGTTTTGTCATATACAACTAGTAATAACAATTTTTGCAGTAAAGGTTCAGGATAAGGAAAATCGGATGGGAGTGCTGCCATTTTTCTCATTCATACAAAGTCGACGTACTGTAAAGCAATCAAATATTGCCCGCAAACTATGGGCAATATGTTGTATTCGTGCCAACACTGTCTGACTTTTGACGGTGAATGACTGCGTCAAATTTGGCAATTAGGTTGGAGTAGTCTATTGTGCTACACTGTGACCAACATTGTAGATATATGAATGAATGAGATGTTTCCTCAGCGATAGAATTTCGATTAGTTCAATCGGAGCTGTTTCTAAACTCAACTTAAAGTTAAATAAAAGTCCGCCGTTGAATTCTTCTTAATTAAAGCAGCGAAACGGTATCTACCGGTTTTGCTGGACATAAGGCGGTTCTATTCAAATATTGAAAATGTAGCAATGATTTGTTTAAATTGTATAATAAAAGAGAATTTTTTTGCATATCTATAACCATGTTGATAAACGCCGTTAGCCGTTCCCAGAGTTATAGCTGGCTGACACTTACATTGGAGGACTGTACATATATTGAGGGATAGAAATTTAAATAAAATACCTCAAATGACTATAGACGTATTAACTGATTTCTTATTTAACAACTCAGGAATTACGGTTGATAGTTGTTATCGTAAAAGATACGTTTAAGCTGAAGCGGTTCATTTATGATGTATCTACATAGGTACACGTATCTATCGGCTACTTAAGCGTTGCAGCACTTCGAGATATATTCTGTCAGGGCAAGTGAGGCAAATCAACAGAACTTCAAACCTAAGCTGTTGGCTGTCTGACAAGACATTTTTACATGGCGAATTGTACACGCACCGTTTTACAGCGTTCATTTCATTCACAACTCGGCTGTACGTGTTCCATTTTTGTATTCTCTTATTTAAACCAGATAGCTCTAGCACGAGATATGCTAGGTACGACTTGAGCCCCAATATCGAATAGAGTTTTCAAAAGTGTTAGGAAAGCTGGTACAAAATGGTGATAAATCATACATAGATACCTACAAGAAATGACAACGAATTGGGGTATGAATATTTATTGTATGCAAATTGTCGGCTAGCAAATGCACCTATGGATCATATGAGATCAAAATTCCCGTTTGAATCACGGCAAATGTATCAGTTGGCCTTAGATGATATGAACTTAAAGTATAATTACGTTGCTACGTACTGTTGGATATTAGTTTGTTCCTATTCATGACGTCGTGCACTGACGATCTTGAAACCGACGTTTAGAAGTCTGTTAATACCTTGGGTAGTATGGGTAGGTAGGGTACGGACGCGGCCTGCCGTAGTACGGGCTGTAATAGTTAAAATCATATTTTGATGCTGTTTATATTGGACTGATGAAGTATTTCAACATTTGGCATGTGCTTCTTTCTTATTGACACCCGAGATGCATGCACGATAAGCCACTCTGATTCATCCTGAGACGTAATTCCGCCGCCTTCAATTCTCTCTTTGTAAAATTTCCTTGTAGTCCGCTATAGCAGTCATGTCCAATTATCTACAAACTAACACACTGGAGATTCACCCGTTTGTTTTCGATGGAACTCATTGATAAGGTACTAACTATAATTACTCACTCCCCATAGACACCGTAGGGTCTCCCATATCCGCCTGTGATGTACGGTCTGTCATAGGGGTATACGTACCCACTACCGCCAAACAGAATCGAGCTTGTCGCTACGTCGATGGCCAACAACAGGACGAGAAGAAACATCATACGCAACATCTGAAACAATATGAGAGGTGACAGATAAAGGAAAATATGAGTCATTCCTCTTTATCTCGTTTTAACATTTTGTTAGTTTTTCTGCTATGTCTATTCGTGTGATTCGTCGTGCTGCCAAGTACGCAAACGAAAGAGCATGGAAGAAGACCGTTGACTGACAGATATAAAATGGTTCTGCTAAACTGCTAATGGCGTTTTATAGAAACATTGGGTAAGTGAATCCTGCTGTAGCATTTTTATAAATTCAATCTTTATAAGTAGTAATTTCAAGTGGAGCAAAGCGAGAGAACATCAAAAACAACCTCTGCGCATTGAAATTTCATCACTCATGTTGCGCTAGATCTAATATCATCGGTTGGGAGCTGAGCCTGCTCGAGCTCTACAGGCTAACATGAACTGAAGCTGTTTGATATTACTGATATTCATGTTATAATCTAGTGATGATTATAATTCGAGTGAGGAATAGACATTTTGTAGAATGTTCGGATTTAAACGCATTTTTTCGCAAATGCGTTTGAATCCCAAATAATCAGCCCGATGTTGCTAAGTCTTCGTCTATGAAATCGTGTGGCTTATTAGCTTGCCCAAACGAAACCTGAGCACGAAAACACTGCGGAACATTACCGTAAAGGATAATAGACAGTTAAACCATGAAGTTAACACAAACTAGAAAACAATCCGAATATAATATGCAATTGTATTACTGCAAGTTATGAACTTTTGCTGCGAACATATGTTTTAGAGCTTAACAGACTCCTTGTAAACTGAGACAAGGCTGAGAACTACAACGAAATTGTTCGCAACCATTAGCACGAAATGTGTCTAGCTTTCAGGTCATTTGTGTTTAGAGTTAGTGAAGTACGTAAATAACGCGCTTGATTTGCCTACACTCGTAAAGCACCTATAATTTTTTCGGTGCGTCACTGTTAGAATCATTGCTTTGATGCAACTGGAAAGGTTAGTGAGCACCTACAAACGTTCAGGTCCCGCATGGATCTGCTTCACAAGACCATTTAGCCGGACGGTCTAACTGTAGACGCTAGGTTTGTGTAGTAACGAAGAACACTGGTTTAATCTGGGTCAACGACGTAGTTTTATCTTTAGCATGAGCCCAGTTCTTCTCAGATAAGCTGTTCACACGTAAGGTCTCCAAAGTAAAAATTTCCATACAAAACTTCATAAATATGACAAGGAATTTTTGAAATAGTCCAAACCTATGTTCACCTGCTAATCTGCCTCTGAAATAAATAGTTTACCTGGTCAGAGCTTTTGTTGTGCGTCTTTCAACGAAACTTAGTTATGGTTTACAAACAGAATCAGTGTATGATTCGATATGGGTATTCATTGAGCGTATGTTCTATTCAATCCCAATTATAACGCTAAAGATTGTAACACAATAGGTGAAAACCCAGATCCAAAGTTTGCCATTTAGTTGTGCCACCTCTAAGCTACTTTTTTTATTTTGGCGCATTTCTTGGCTTGATTTTGCAGCAACAAAAGTATTTGTCGCAATGTGAATTTCTTCCTCTTGTTCTCCTATTCGTTCCCGACGCTGGTCTCAGAGATATCTTTAGCTGCAGCGGAGATGGTGAAACTTAGGGCATACGCTCTTTTGTTTGTCTGCGGATACTTTGTCTCGCTGCAATCGGAAACGCCCAACGTTATGATAGTAGAACCGACACCTCGAGGTAAAACTATTCTTTACCATGCGTGGACGCATTAGTAAGAAGAATTCACACATGTTATCCTTGCAGTATTACCTAAACTCATGTTTTTTTTTCTTATTCGGGGATTTTGTGATTTCCTATAGGTTCTTTACGTGAAAATCGATGCTGGAAATCCAAAATGAAAACTCTGACAACTGAATATTTCCACTTGGCAGGCTAAGAAGAAGTAGCTTATAGGATAACCGTTTAAACAAGTCGGGAGCTACATAGCTTCTTCGCTCATTTTCTACTGATTGAATACGGATTTATATAATTAAGTTGCTTTTTAAACATCAAAGGGCCAATATATATAGCTTTAGCTAACGTGTACTCTTAACGTCCAGTAGTGGACTGTTAATTAATTATTTTAGAATACATAAATTTGTCCCAACGGGACGTGTCCTCCAGAGAAAGGCTATTGAAGCTTGGAGATAAGTCGAGCACACATGCTTGCTAGCTATGCTGAACACGCGAACATTTCACGCATCAATGGACATTCAATCATACGTATAATCATAGATATGTCTACAGCTTGGGAAACGATGCCACTGCACTATACCCGAAATGAGAAAAGGTGACAACGCTTAATGGCTGCTTGTTGAAAACGTACAAGATGAAGCAACTGAACGTTGTGCTTGTTCAGCTCCGTATGCAGTTAGCATATCTGTAATGCGAAAGGAATATTATAGGTTAGGTTGTGTACTGATACCTGCAGGTAAAGGGTCGATTCAGTTTCACAATGAATGCGAAGCAGTGATTTTTGTAGAAAATAGCGTGATCATTTAGTATTCGAACAGTATACACGCGAGCTATGCAGCCCCATTCATACTGATTAATAAAACTCATATCTTTATTAAATTGTGATTTTAGTATGATCTTGAGCTTTTCTGTGTTTTAATTCTGTTAGTCCCCATCAATTATTCGTTAACAAAGCACTGCCGCATACGACACTGTCAAGAAAGAAATGGGAAATTTTAATTTGATTGCCCGAATTGTTTTTTTTTTTAGGTCTTCAGTAGCCGATTTCGAACACAAATTGATGTATACTGCTGTGTTAGCATTCTTTAAAACATTTTACCACTTCCGGTTCTTGCATGAAGTCTAGCGCCGATGATTATCCTTCAACTGTATTTCTTCTAGCGTACCCGAATCATTACATTTTTTTTATGGCTCTGTTAATGGCGTCCCAGAGAGAAACATCGACTCTCCTATCTTCCAGCTTATTCCGGAACCAACAGTTCTGTTCGAAAGCTTGGCTCCACTTCCTTCTTACTTCCTGCTGCGCCTTCTTCAGGTTAATCAGAAATGATTCCGTTTTTAAAGTCAAAATTAATTGTTCTCCGTTGTCAGCTTATGGAAAATTAACGCAGGCGATAAGGAGTCGGTTTGTTTGCAATCAACACTAAAATAAGAGCCGCTTTTTATGTGCGGCCATGTTTTCAAGAAGAGTAGCATTTTCCGGTAAAAAAAGGCCAACCGTGATAGTCCAAGCGGGTTGCCGAAAATAACAAAAAATGGATATTATTTTTTGAACAAAGTGGAACGCAAGATACTTGCTTCTACGTTTAATCCATAATGCATTGTGCTCCTTACGAACATCATAGGTCAGATTGTGCTACAGTTATATTATCATTGTAGCCCGTTGCATAAGACATATATAATCATTAGCAAACCGAAGAGTTTATTTTTATGAAAATCAGTTTACATGGTGGTTGTCCGACACAAAACATAATTGTTGCTGAGCCGGTAGCATAGCAGTATCTCAAGTAGAGACTCTATCCCTAGAAGAGGCTTGTAGTCTACAAGTTATTTTCAGTCCACATAGTTATGTCAAAGGCGACCGTAGTAACAGCTGGATTGACTGCCTACCGCAACAAATGGATTAGCAATTGCACCTGTCTAACTAGCAGAGAGCGTGTTTACGCGGTATTAACGGGATAAACGTATACTGCTTGAGCGCTAAGTTGACTGCAGTTGGGAAACTTCCGCTTTCGCTATATTGGTACGATTATAGTACTAGTATACGCTTGACACCGTACGAATACGGCACCCAGAATCGGAAGGAGGGGCGATCGTAAGTAACAGGTTTCCGCTGACCCCGCTTGGATTCCAGTACTTATGCTTATGCTTGTTTGAACCTTGCGCCAATCACTTGTCAGTCTACGGATCTCAATCAACATGAATATTACTTTCATACACTTATACAAACACAGTTCAGTCGCAGAACGTTGTACCAGACGACGCTACACGAGCTTGATTGACCTCCACTGAGACGCGCTTTATGTGCGTGGAAAGCTGGCTGAAATCCAATATAGATATCCAATGCTACTAATCAGCTCGGCGACCGACACACAAAATCTTAAGGAGGGTAAGCTTTCGTATAGATAGCAAAATCACATAAGTGTTTCTGGTTGCCGATTACTTTCGGTCCTGTTTCATAGCGGAAGCCGAATCGTCTATTGCACATAAATTGAAAAGAAGGCGCCGGCAAAATCAACGTTGTTTAATTAATCACCCAGCAAAACACACTTAATTCGAGGATGCCATGAAATACCATATTGCCTTCCTCAGATCTCCACTAGAGGGGTAAAACCCTACTTGTTTAGTACTATCAGTGTTCACGTTTATACTAGCGAATACAAACATTATTTCTTATTTTCACCTCGTACGACTTAGCGCACTTCAGACTGATAACGCTCGCAAAATCCTAGCCGATGTCTGAACGAAGTCTAAAACGTCTGCTACCTTTGGCTATTTCAGATGTAATTTTTTCGTATCGACAAGTCGAAACTACGGGAAAAGGTCCGATAGTGCTCGCTCTCGAAGCAACCATGTATATTTGTAGACGCTTCAAGTAGATCGTGCAGAAGATATTTAACTAGAAAGCTTACGGAGAACGTGGACTTCGTTCGATGCCTTATGAAAGTACCATCTATGAACACAAAGCGTACAGACCATAATGAGTTGACGATTCACATTCAGTTTATTTACGGATCTCTAATTGAAGAATCGCTTTATTACAAACGGGCGGTATCAGCGTCGTCCAGCGGCGGTCAACGGTCATGGCATCGTATGACCGCTGCTGGCCTTGCCGGTACAAACGAAAGATAATGACCACGTATGTTAGTTTACCCGTCGATATCTGTTGTTTACGGAAATTACAAACATGGAAACACTGACATGCTTGAGCTCGCTGCAACGACAGCTCAGACGAGGCTGGCTGCCGTTCCGCCTTCCTTTCAGTTTCGTCCGCTACATATGCCACTATTAAATACGTGCAGATTGACCGATAGATGCGCGAGTTTGTCAGCAATTCTTCCAGCGAGAACGACAGTAACAACTGTTAGCAACGACATTATACTTTGATACTGCTCTCAAGGTTGGTAAACGCATTTAAGATGTAAAAAAGAAATGAAGAGAAACACAGATGTTGTTTACCGCCGGTAAAGACTGCTACACGGGGTCATTTATTGTAGCGCCAGCGGCCTGTAATTGTTGCGGAGACTACAGCTGTTGCTGCCGCTGCCGCTGTTGTTGTTGCTGTTGCTGTCCATATGCGGTACGATACGATTTAATGGGTGTTGGAAATCGCGCCCACCATCCATTACTGTAGAAAAGATCCCGCCAAAGTAGTAATTGCCTGCATCCGTTTTTCAGCTGAAATTATTAAAGCAGCAGCAACAACAAGAAACCGGCACAAACGAAAGCAAGCGAACAAGGTAGGTGTAACAAAAAGTGAAAGCTAACCGTCTCCGATTCAGCGTTGGCAGTCCCGCCAATTCAATAGGTGGACAGTGAACGCTAACTGGCTTATTAATAAAAACAGCAATGACTCAGTAAATGGAAAATGTTACGTTATTCATGTTAGTAGTTGGCTGGTTAATGGTACTGGAAATGGAAATGACAAGTGAGAAGTTGAAGGATGTGAATCCCCAAAGATTTGACGTGTCAAAGGCACTATCAGACCAATATTATATTTAATTGTGTCACCGGCATAGTTCAGCAAGATTTTACTAAGCAGAAGTAAATAAAGAGGCAAACGGAACAAGACACGCCTCTGGCTTGTGTGATTTTTCTCGGAAAGATCAACGCTCATAACAAAAACTAAGGCACTATGCACCGTTACGCAATAGGTATTTGTATGAGACACAGATGTGTCACGTGTTTAGTAAATAAAAACATTTTGTTCATCACCATTACTTCGCAATGGTGTATATAGGTCAAATATATATCCAATACATTGTTGTTACAATACAATTAGCCAGATTCAGTCTAATTTACGCTGCAGCGAATAAATCAAGGCACAGTTTGTCATCCGTAACGTGGCTAAAAAACAGTCGAATAGCGCTTTAACGTTGAAGTGGCAGCTAAGCAAAAAACATAGCTAGTCTAAACACCTAAACCTACCCTAATTTTTTTCTAAAATTACTTTTTTTTTCATGATACATGCATTTTAATAGTTTTCCATTGTTTCTGTTAATTAGTCTGAATGATTTGAATCTAATGACAACAAACGGCATATACGCAATATTATGTATTCATTTCGAACGCTGTGTATCTTTATTTTTTCATGTACATGTAGTGTACCTGTGCCTTTTATTTTGTCCATCACATGAAAAAGACCAGCCGACACGGGACTAATCTACAAGGCTCCCGTTGTTGAGAATCGAGCTCCGTCACTCATCGCTGTTACTCCGTTTGCACGTGAAGTATACAAATGTGTGATCGATGAAGTGGGAACAGGTGACCCAGTTACGGTGGCCTTCCTAAATAGCTCACAACATGTATATACGTTTGTGAGTAATAACACGCAGTAGGGAAAACAGCTTGCGTATGAATGGTTTGTACGATTTCTGTTAGAACGTATTGTAACGATGATAATGATGACGATGATGATGATGATGATGATGATGATGATGAATATCTCTTTGTACGCATGTCCTTTCGAGCCTGTTACCTCACCCTCTCTCTCTCTCCACGCGGTAAAAGTAGCAATATCATATTTGCTATTTTCAGAGGTAGTATTAAGTATAGTTTGTAGTTATTACACAAGCTTTTTTGTGACTCTCGGATAGATTAAAATAGAATTAACTATAACTCGTTCCTTTAACATACATGTGAAACTTTTCAGCATATCTTCGTTTGTGCTGTGCATGTGATTCTGGCCATTGTGCCGCCATCATTTGGAAACGAAGTCGTCCTCGCTGAGATAAGTTCGAGGTTTTCACATTGGAAGTTTCTGAAACCTTTGCTGATAGCTAATACGCTGACGACAATACAGCCGTGATTCATTTCACGCTGTTTATTTATGACTTATGTGTCTACTGTAGAGGATCCGACTTGGTACACACGCTATAGTTGTTTAGGAAGGTGACGAAGTCGGTAAGGACTTGGGTTTGATTCACCGTAACTGCTCTCGAGTCGTCGGCGAAACCTCCGAAACGTGTCCTGATTCATCTTTCGCATCGATATCCGTCGGAAAAAATCATGATCATCATCCAGGTGATAGCGGTTGGCCGGCACTCTCGTTGACAACGGGTCTATTATGACAAACTCGGAACGGCGTTGCTGGTAACCGGACGCAAGCACCAGTCCACGCATCAATCCCACCAGGAGGAGAACTTGACATGTGAGCATACTTGATTGAAAACGATGCGCCGCTCTGGCTGCAGAGAGAGTATGAGGATAATTAATCAATATTTAACGAACGGTGTAATGGCACAATGCAAGACCGCATCTGTAAGCTGAGAGCAGACGGCCTAGGCGCGTCATAAAATGAAACCAAGATGGGAAAGGCTGAAGCATTGACAGTTAGCAGCTTAGCCAAGCTTGTCATTCCTAAACTGCAAAGATTATTAATAAAGTTAAGCTGTGTTATAATTATAGCAGAAGGTCATGCATGACAATCACCTGATACATCAGCCTCTGTTTGTACAATTTTAAACAACCCTCTGCAATTTATTTCTCATTTGAGTTCCGTATGGTTTCCAAGTTCGTTGTAAATTACAGCAGTCCGATAGACGAGCAAGCAAACTTTCGGGATCTCTTTGTGGAAGCGCCTAGGTTGAGCACCAGGAGACCAACGATGGGCCTAATCATCCGTATATGGAATTTTTATTCAACGTGTTGCTTGGTCTGGGGACGAGAGTCTCGCTTCTGAGTATTTCGATAAAGATAATTTCTCTTCCTCCAACAGAAATACAACTGTGAAACATTTTTCTTTTATGCAGAGGTAGCTTCGGTGTCATAGCGATCTGTTACCGATCAAACTGAGTGACAACAGTAACGACCGTGGCTAAGGTCAGTTTTTTCAAACCTAATCAACTGCCCAAGCACCAACAACTGGTTGTTTTTGTTGATATTGTTGTGGATTATTCGCGGGCAGTTCCTGGTTTCCATCGACTAGCCATAATTATTTCCGTATTCCTCCTAGAGGGAAAGCGTCAAGAAATAAGATCAAGTCGACATTGACTCTGTTCTCGATTATTCGATGCGCCACATCAAATGCAGTAATGATGAGGGTGGACGTTTACGTTTTCGCTGATGTTTACGATCGACAAGCAAGCGGCGGAGTTAAAGTTTTCATGATTTAACGGATCTCCTTCGTGCACCGAAGATTGATACGTTACCCAGGCGACAGTTAACCGATTTTGTCTCTTCTTAGCATTCGTAACCGTCGTACAGAACCGATGAACTGGACAACGTGTATATATTTGGTAGATGTTGTTTTCTATGTTTTTTTTTTGCATCAAAACAACCTGAAACAAGCGACCGATAGTTTTTTGTTGTACACAGAATTTGCTGTTAGGAACGGAAAAAAAAAACCAGCCGGCCACTGGGATATTAAAGTAAGGTCGATAACACTGAAAATGGCAGTTTGCAAGGTACCTAGCAGTACGCTAGCTAGAGTTGCTCCGCAATGGTAGTTAGTACCTTTGACTTGAACAGAAGACGGGCATGGCAACTGTGATAGATTTGGAGGAAAAGGAAACAATGAGCGCCGTGATTAACGTCGCCTTACATGTCTCAATAGGAAAAGCGAAATAATGATCTGTTAAAACCTGTGGCTTGTTCTGTGTGGTGGCTAGTTCCGGAATCAATCTATAATTACTACAGAAGGCAGCGAAGTGCTCAGAAAAAACGTTTCGATCGTTTATTCTCATAGTGGAAATATCAGTTGTCTATCTTATCAGGTAATATAGACGAACCTATGCCTAGGTTCCTTCGATGCACAAAAGAATATTGTAAATACTGCATTATAAGGATCGAAAAACGGTTATAGGAGCAAGGAAGAATCACTTTTTTAGAGCACATTTTCCAAGCCCTGATACTTCAACTTCACCAAAGAGAAAAGTAAATCGGTACTATTAGCTTCGGTTAATTTATGATTTGAAAATTTTCTTATTACATTTAAGGGAAAAAAACTAGGAATCCACTGGTTTTGCTTAGGAACCAATTAAGAAACTGACTAGAGAAAGAGCGACTCCTTATACAAAAGTAAAGCATGAATTTAAACCAGGCTGCAAACAGGCACAATATAATAATTGAATCTTGAATACATCATAGTATTAGGAAAATCACGTGTGCAATATTGACTAAGCTCGTCCCTATGTTTCGGGCCTAATTATACGTGGAAAGTGTATCTCGCGTTTTTCTTGCTTCGCTAATCCAGGACACCACATTATCATCAGTTTGCAAACATATGGACTTCAATAAAAAGAAAGCAATAAGGCAAATATTATAAATTTGATGCTTTCCATCATTTTCACTGGAAAAAACACACACCGATTCATAGAAACAATACGAACAGTAGGCAGGCATAATTCGGATGGCACAACGCGACCAATGAATTCCGTACCTATACGTCCAGAAATACCAACTTTAAGAAGCAATTTAAGCGCGCAAATCTACATACGGTATTTTCATATCTGTGTCTGACGGTAGCTTGTTGGTTTTACAGTCGGCACATGAATAGTGTTTGTACGCGAACTTATATCGAGCAAGATAACATACATATTATTCAAAACTTCTATTTTATTAAGTGCTATTAGTGTAGGCTTAAGAGTCAGCTGTAGTAAATGCCATTAACGTGTTATTATTTGATTAATTTGCCAACTTTCTTAATATTAATAACCACTGAGAATTTCAAGCCCTAGTTATTAGCCACGAAGCATGTTTGGCAATTGAAGAAAAAAAACTTTTTCGACTAACCTTGTGCTTTCCTATTTCAGTTAATTTAACGTCAATCCAAATCAAGTTTGCCTCGGCACAATTGCGTACTTGCCCTAACGACTATCTTTCTAGGGGCACTTTTCACGGTCAGATAGCCTCGTACTTTGTTTACTAGACAGTGACTCTACTACAAAGATCTGTAGCTTGTCTGCTTGTCTGCCTAGCGGTCTGTCTGCGTAGAGCGTCCGTTGAGTGCGGTTTTAAGGACTCGCCGACCGAATAGCTGGCTAATGGCTGAGGCACGTCGCCCGCCCTCGCTCCTGGCTGCGCCAATTTGGGAAAGGTGAAAAAGACAACGAAAGAAAAACAGAGAAACGAATGACCGACTATCAACAGGAGATTACATGATCAACATAACAGCAGCAGCGACGCGGGGTCTTCTCCTCAGTACAGAGATAGACCGAGGCGAGGAGCCTCCGTTATGAGCCTCGTTCTATGGGAGCTGCTGAAGCAACAGGCAGCAAATAGTGTTACCGCGGCCTCGTATATCCCGCCGTTCCCGTGTTCTTGCTACCTCACCCAGTCCAGTTTGGTGCACATACCTCACTGCGTTGCTTTCTCCGCCATATCTGTAGCCTACACGCTCCTCACTAAGAGGTGAGGTAGTCAATACGCATACCAAATATGCTGCACCATTTTACTGAATCTGCCGCAGTAATAAAATCAGAGACAACACCATTTGATTGTTGATTACAGACTGGGGTCCGCTAGTCACAGGAAAAAAACGACTCCGTGAAGTGATCCTGAAGAAGTTGGATAGGTAATCAAAAATTGTTAAAAAACACCTCAGCTGGGCTAAATGGGTGCTTACATCGTATACTGTAGTCTCGTTATCAGAACAGATTGTGAGAATTCCCACAGTAGTAGCATGAAGTCCTCTGGAGGGTACTTAAGCAATAGGCCTTCAATGCTTAGGACGTTAGACTTACCAGAAGGATACGTAACGGTCAACTTGACTATCGACATAAACCACAGATTGCTAGCCTTCTGATAGCTTATCCAGTAAGATATAGGACTGGGTTTCGTCGGGAGTCGTTTCGCTCGATTGCCATTCAAGGCGTTTCAAAGCATCGATATCCACACTGAATGTATTGCGCAGGTTACAATTTTATTTTAGCGAAAGTTTAAAGTTAAGTTTGTACTTGAATCGCATATGCTTTGAGATTTCTAATTGGGTGAACTCTCTCAATGATTGTGTCTAGAAGCTAAGTACCTCAGACCTATGTACACGAAAAAACCATAAGATATCATTCAGTAAAACACGACACTGACAAACATTGCGGATCCTAATCACAATTAAAGTCACAACAGAGATAAGTGGCATCATCGTAATCGAAAATAAGGCCCAGGTTAACTACCGACAAAAGTAATCGTCGTGTCGCTATAGTTCCAACTGGGCTAACGGGGAATGACAGCTGTTTTCGCGAGTAAGACAACTGTCATTTCCCGTCGCCAATGAGACAAATGTTTAGTTTTTTATAGATTTTATAGACAAATTTTATAGATGAGAAAATTCTAATGACGCGTATGCGCCCTTAACGTGTATATAGGACGAGGCTCTAGAGAACCGGCAGCGGACAGCTCAACTGACAATTATGGCCAATATGCATTTCTTGAAGCGAGTCGATTAGTTTATCATGCCCCTGCCATTTGTAAGCAAACACACTTAGACCCAGCATTCAAGTTCCGCTCTGGCTTTATACACACAGATATATTCACACCCTATGCTAACCGCTGATCGTCTACAATCGACAGGCTTACTCCTAAGCCAGCTTCCTACTCGAACAATGCAGGTCAGCTTATTCTCGAGTTTACAATAGGAAGAAGACGCATAGGTACTTTGCACACTAATGTTCTGCACATCATATTAATACTGAGCTCAGAATATATATATATATATATAGGAACAATGAAATATAGAATTTTTTTCTCTAATGTCATCCTTTATTGTTACAGAGCTTGGACAGGCAGCCGGTGCCGGAATTTTTATATCTTGAAGATTTTCGTTTGAATATTGAGATTAGTAAGGGGAAGAGTGAGCACCACCGCGCAACAGAGAAGGGTAAAAAAAACTGTATATACATCAAAGCCGCCTCATTATTGAGCTACGAATACTGATTAAGTTAATGTTTAAAATCTTCTACGTAATGTCGAATTTAATTTGATCCGCTAATGTTTGGAAGGTAATTCCGCGGGTGAACTTATGGTATTTCTAACAACTCGGTCTACCCTATGCAGACGGTGACGGGGCTTCTTCTAGTCCTATAAATCTCGTTGAGATAGTGTCATTTGCGTCTATTGAGAGGAAAAACTCAGTGCAAGTTACGGTGGTTTGCAAGCTATATGCTGATCGATGTTTACTTAGGTACGATTCGTCCCTTTGTCGTCTCTTGATTTCCATATCAGTACATTATTTTATCTTGCAGCTTTACGGGATATACAATCGAAATATGTCTGTAACTACTTTGTCACGTCAAAAGATCTTAGTTGAAACATCGTTTGCTAAATATCTGTCTAGTTTGCTATGTCTTTCTCTCTCCCTGCAAGTCTCTATATATAAATGGCCTATAAATTCTTGTTGGAGCTTGGTGCCCCGGTGTAGCGGACGACGGGAGCCGGCAAATTAAGGTGAAAAGAGATAGACTCAAAACTTGTTCAATAGTCCACATTCTGCACACACGCACGCACTCTCTTGCAGCGATTAGTTCAACCATAGTGACTGAATTTTCTCCCACTATATGGCAGCGTATGTTTATAGACATGCTGCTTAACATTGACTGCGAACTTTAAGTTAGCCGCAATCAAAACGTATTAGCGGTTAGAAGATTCGACGTAGTTTCGGAGCGGCTGCGATGGTTAGCAGCGGTAGCAGTAGCACGCCTCTGACTAGTGACTAATTTCTTAAATATTACCATGGCGATGAGACAGCGCAAGTGCGCCCTCGCCTATCCATTCGCAGACTTTGTAAAGTACCTACTGTTTTCTGAGCATGCCGGACAAAAGCCACAAATCTCACTACCCGCCACACCAATGGGCGGATATATCGTCATCAGCAGCGTCACTGGCCAACGCTGCGGTCCAATCGGTGGACAGTAAGAAAATGCGATCTCACGTTCCGCTGAACCCAAGCACGCACGCCAAAACATACACAACGAAATAAGGATGATTGCATTCACCGGAGGAGTCACTTTATTGATTCATTTTATTAGGCTAGCACACACATACAAAAACACATATACGCAGAATAATTTAGAAACAAAGAGGCAGTCGCCTAATTGAAGACACGGCAGCGACAGGCATCACTTCCTCTCTGTTCCTTCTGCTCTCCTTTTTTAGCTTGTTGTTCCTTTTCTTGACATTGGTCTCGCAATGAAGATTTATTCGTGCGGCATGCTACAAACTTCGCCCCAGTGCGCCTTATCCTTGTATTCGCTCTAAAGGGTCATCTCAGTGACAAAAGCAGGACAACTTATGGTTTCCGATAACGCCCTGTACATTCGTTAATATGGTAGCAATGCTGTGGTGGGAGGTTTGACGCAGGGGGGCAAACAAGCACATAAGCAAGTAAACAACGCAACGCACTTGGACGATTTACAAAGGGTACAATGTTGCTAGAACTGGTTATATTGAAGTTCGGAGTTGGGACGCGGCAATTTTTTTGCCGCTGGCTGGCCGCTTTTAAAGAGTCTTCACTTATTGGGCGTCTGACATAGATAGAGGTCGTTGTTGAAGACAATTTATTTGCTTACGCGGAAAGTTGAGAGCGGTATTACATTGTGGAATTGCTCTCTACATTCACGCGATATCAGGGGTGCAAATGTGGCGTGTAACCGCTTCATCTGTGTCCCATGCTTTATGCACTAAGTGAATGGCGTTCTATTATGAGCGCATGTGGAGGCGCATACTTACGTTGGCTTAAGTCCATCGATAAGTTTTATTGGCCATTTTTGAAACCCGTTAATAATGCATTGATGACGATGTCGCTAACGGCATAATGCTTATCATGGTGATCGTGCCGTGATGACGTCATTTCATTATTTTGATATGATTATGATATATATATATCATTAATGGCGCTGCTGCAAGGCAACGACTACCATCAACTAAAGATGGCCGTCGCTTGTCATGGTCGTCGGCCCTAATTGTAAGCTGTTTCCCAAGTAGGGGTAGTGTTTGTTTACTGGCTGCTGAATCAGGATTATACTTGTACATGAGTACAATTGCAAAATTCGAAACAGAAGAAAGACAGACAAATACGAAGGCAAGCTGAAGTTAGTGTAAAAAAATTGCTATGGCACTATAGATATTCGCCAATCCGAGTATGAGCTAAATGACAACATTCGGTCTGTTTTATAAATCTATTACATTTGGGCGCAGACCTGTCTGCCGACAAACATGGCGCAATCGTACCACCGAATCGGAACGTTTACGGCGGTGTCCTGTTGCCTATAGGAAAAAGTTTCGTATAGAAAGAACTTGATCCTTACATTACCATCTTACCCGTTGACTTTTGGCAACGTTAAAAAGGAAATAGTTTTTTTGGAGAACACGATTTGAGATTTATTGGAAAAATAATATTTTGTTAGTCAGAAATATCCCTACTTGTCCTTGCACACTCATGCAGGGGAGGAGCTTATGTAGTGAGCAGTGCTCATAGCGGCAATCATGTTAAAGTAAACTTTAAACAGATTAGACAAGTTGAAAAGTAAGAAAACCGTTGTTGGCTGAATAATTGAATTACTATAATAGAGATACAATCTACTATCTACCCACTAAATTGTAATGCTGTTATCTACAGATCGCAGTAGAGGGACGTTCTCATAGCGTTTTATCTATATTATGATGGATTTTATCACTCTTTTGTGACCGCATTCTTCGCTGCATAAGCAGATCACTGAATAAGAGGATACAAATTCTGTTGTGCCCTCTTATAGAAGCGTGTGCAAGGTGGGCGGGCCAGTGCTGAGAATATGTCAACCTCTTTGTCAGAGCAAGCATAGAGTAACTGATAGTCAACAAGAATGTTACTGATCTGACATCTCACTGGATATTTAATGGTTGAATGGCTGAATTGGTTAAAGGTAACGAAACAACGAAAATGAGATTGTCGGTTAAATGCTTTAAGGCCGTGTAATTTTTTTTTACTGGCTATTCTCATCCAAGATCAACGTTTAAAGAAACGTGCTTGAAAAGCAAGTCGCAAAAAGTTCAGCCTTTGTTTATTTTTTGTTTATAACCAAGTTTTACTACTATTTTATTGGCCACGATTGACTTGGTCAACTTTCTGGAGGTAAACCGCTGTTTAATATCTATATGTATTTGCAAGGCGTTAACTTGAAATTCAGATATAACGTTAGCATAATTTTGGTTCATTCAGCGCTTTGTGTCATAAATTCAAACTTCAATGCAAAAGACGACTAGCGCCACTTGAAGATGTTGAAAATAGGTAGAGGATAAGACCAACCAGCGTTGGTCAAGGTCGAGTTAAATGGTTTTTCCGCCATACACTTCAGTATGAATATAATCGAAAAGTGCCTCCTACTATGTGTCGTAAAGCCTTTCAATAGCTTGGCTGATAGGGAAGCAAAACAGGGGGAAAGCGTATGGTATCGTATAGCAACCTTTGTGCG